CCCCCCCCTAAACATTAGCAACAAGACCGAATGACGCCCAGTCAGATCTCTCTTCACCTCTCAGTGCTCATTCGTTGTCATCTCAGCTTGTTGTGTGTAAACCGAGCGAGCGCTGTCTCAGAAATCCTTTAAAACTCATTTGGTTTTCTTTTTTTGGTCTCCCAAAGCTTCTTCTTTGCTCTGTATGTTGTAAACCCTTTTGTTTCTGTTCATTGCCAAAGCTCCACTCTAGGCTGGAGGGGCTCAAAGATGATCGCAGGAACCATAGGACCTTCGACTCGCGAGTAACTATTCCCAACCCACGCAAAAAAAAGGAGCTGCTTCCATCCGCAAACTCTGCTTTGCGTCAGGAGTCCAAACTCCTTGCTTTATACTCTTCTTCTCTCTGCTCGTCTCTGTTTCTTTCCTTCTCTCTCATTATCTTGTCTGTAGACGTCGCTCTTTCTAATTCTCTCTTTGTTTTATTAGCCGTTTGGTGTGTTGGAGTCTCTTGTGGACATTGAGTTCTGTTTCTTAGATCTGTTTTTCTGTTCCTTTTAAGTTTTACCTCCATTTAGATGCAGTGTTTTATTGCTGTTTGCTGTATGTGAGCTGCGCCTCATAGTTTTCTTCCTCTTCCTGTCCTTTCCTAACTCTCTGTCTTTCTTTGCTCTGTGTCGATCATTGATTTGTCGTGTTGGTGCTAGTCTGTTGTAACTGGATCGTGAGTAGAAAGGATTTGGGACTTGCTTGTGTGTCTCCCCCTATAGGCCAGGGGCATTGCGTCTCAGCACGAAGGACACATAAAGGGCTGTTTTTAACGCTTTCATGCATTAAATCAAAGACTTAATATCTATAAACTTTTGTCACTATAGCCTCAAGTCAATGTGTATTTTTGCATGGAATTTGATTGACCTCTCATACCATTACTCTTGGCCTAAGGGAACGCCATACTTTATGATACTTTGTATTGGTAGATTCCACAGTTACAGCTGAATGTATAGTCAAATGTGCTATTATTATTATTATCTTAAAACATTCATGGCTCATTTGGAAAGAAATTCAGCTTAAAAGGGGTCAAAATGAAACTGGATGGGAGGGAGTGCTTGAATTGTGTTCCATAATATGGAGCTTCTAGCTGTTAAAGTCAACATGAAATCAGAATTGTCAGTATTTTTTTAAATAATATTATAGGCATCTAATTCTTTTTAAAGCAATTTAAATAATATGTTTTTTTTTAAATTTCCTCTGAACTGATTTATCCTGATGTCTATTTTGACATTGTTTTAGGTTACTGTTGTAGATAAAGAAACTTCAATAAGATTACATCAACAATATCAAATAAATCTGAAAAAATAATAATTATCATTGGGTGTCGAGATGCTTTCGAGGCTAAACTTGACCTTTGACCTCCAAGTTGACCTCAAAATGACTATTTAAATATGAATTCTGCGTGTCTCAGTGTTAATGAATGGCACAGACACGCGTTTACTACTCGTACTGAAGCGTGCGTGAAGCTTCCGCTGATATTAACATCTAATGAGGACATAAATACATGAACAACATCTTCAGAACTGCTCTGAGAGTCACTTCATGACCATTTGACCATTTCATTTGAGTGAAACTATCCTCATATCACACAGAAATGTAAAGGTATTCACGGCAATCCGTCAAAATAAAAGATCGGTTTAACTTGAAGATATTGCGGCAGAAATATATTACTGTTGTTCAGTAGAATGTATGTAATAGGCTACTACTACTACTAAAATTATTAAAACCTTATTTTTAAGGAATAATCATACAATATTTCTTGAATGTTTAATTGTAATATTAAATCCCCTTTATTTCCCAAAAAATAAAATGTGTTTAATTTTCATTAATTAAAAGATAAATTAAATGAATGTTTTATGCCTTAAAAACTGTAAATACACAACACAGAATTTGGTAACAATAAAACATAAGGTTAGAAAAAATAAAACATTTCATAGGGCCCTAAATAATGTAATTTGTGTTAAATTTTTGGTTAAGTTTTTAATAAATTGACGTTAAATTGTTTAAGTTTCATGATTTAAATTAATTAGACATGCTTTTTGATTAATAAAATTTAATTTAACCATTAAAAAGGACCCCAAAGCAATAACCCCCCCCCCCCCCCCCCCCAAGCCATAAACCTAGGGGAAACACTGTATATAATACTCACTTTTCATGATACAGTCAATTCATGATGGATAAAAGCAAGTTTTAAACTACATTAAAAAAAAACACACTATAAAAGTGGTATTCCAAGTTTTCACAAGCTAAACAATATCGTTTTGTGAGGAACACTATTTCGATATGAAACGCCTACATTTTTTTTTTTTAAATGAATAATCATTCTGAGATACATCACATTACAGCATTAAAATGTTTCATGTTGACTTTAATGTCTGTTATATCTGGAATCGGGTTGATTTGGATGCTAGAATGCTACCATGACACAACACTTTCCAGATTGCTAGCATTTTGTCAAGACCATGATGATAATGATAATAATGGCAGTAGGACTGAAAATGATGTTTTCAAGCTAGTTTCTTTTGGTTGTTTTGTCTGAATGTGTAGATGATCATCCTGATCTTTATGAATCCTGTCAGTGGAATGCTAACTCTCCTGGACGGAGGATGGGGCTCCTTTTGTGCTCTAACTCATGTCTTTTTGTCTTTCTTTTCCCAATTCCTTTCTCTCTCTCTTCCTCATTCCCTCTCATTCTGTCTCTCTCTCTATATCTGTAGGTGCAGTCACGATGCAGCAGCAAGGAGAACATCCTGAGAGCAAGTGGGTGACCCATTGTGCATTATCGGGATGATTTGTGCATGTGTGCTTAAGAGCGCGTTTAAATTCTCACTCTTTTGTCTCAGGTCACAGTGCAGTGGATATCACCAAGGTAGCTCGGAGACACCGCATGTCCCCATTTCCCCTCACTTCTATGGACAAGGCCTTCATCACTGTGCTGGAGATGACTCCTGTCTTGGGTAACGAAATCATCAACTACAGAGGTAAGACCCTTGTTTGCTCATACCAACCTAAACTAGACCAATGACCTGTTTGCACCAAGGTAAACCACATGAACAAAAATATTCACAAACTAGGGATGTCAGAGGTACTTGATGATAAATGTTAAATGTAATCAAAGCAGTTTTTATAAAATATTTTTAAAAGCTTGATCTTGGCAAGTTATTGGTGAATGCGAACAGCTGGAACAAAATTAAGATATGTCAAAATATGGGATCTGTGCATTAGGACTTGTAATGCAAATTCAGCCTAATAGACCTGCAGCTGTCATTAATATTAATCAAACAACAATATTAACAAGATTCTGTTCATGGCTGAATAACTTTAGTTGCTGTATTGAGTCCTCTACAATCAAACATGAACAAAATCAGTATTAATGTATTAAATTTAAAAATCATGTTATGAACACTATGTTTTTCTCTGAAAAAAAAAGAATAAGTAGCAGAATTAAAAAATGAAAAACAAAAAAAGAAATCATTGCAATACAGTATTTGATACTCTGAATGGAGGAGTTCACAGAGTTGAATCATGCATGTTTTTAGTATTAAAAATGCAGACTCATTCAGGCAACTTGAAAATGGGCCTTAAAGGGATAATTCACCCAAAAATCAGCATTACTGTCATCATTTATTCACCCTTATGTTGTTACAAATCCATATGACTTTCTTTCTTCCTTCTCGCCGCTCCTTTCCATACCAAAAAAAAAGCCATAAAACACATAAAAATACTCCATATGACTACTTGTGAAGAACATGGTGAAGAATATCCTGATATAGGGACATATAAGACACATACTATCATGAATAACTCCTTTTGTTCTACACGGAAGGAACGTCAAATGTGTTTTGAAAGACACAAGGATGAGTGAATGATTGTGAACTATCCTTTTAACATGAAGTACTGTCCTTCTGATGGTACCAAAATGAGTTTTCATTGGATGTTGGACTGTGGTATATATAGGCCAGTAAGTGCTGAAGGCATATAGTCACCAAGCTCTTTGCTTTGCAGGCTTTCAGCTTTTGCTTTTTTCATCTTCCATGCCTGTAGCTCTTCATCTGTCACACATCTGTTCGTTGTTTCTTTCACCCCATCGTCTTTCCATCTTTCTAGCTTTAATCTTGTCGCTCGTTTCATCCGGCCATCTTCTGTTGTTTTTTAACTCGCTGAGTTCTCTGGAGCTTTGATGCCATTGTGATCAACCGAAGACAGATCCTGTGGTCAGTTTCCACGCGAATCCAACCTTAAAGGCCTTCTTTCTGAATTTCGGGAAAAGCTCTGGAAGATTTTCAGTTACTCATACTGTAGTTGCTCAATCCACATGAACATCAGGAGCAGTCCAGTACCACGGGCTAAATTACATCCCATAGTTTTTTATTTACTTTATAGTCGGTAGACTCTGACACAGCCCATGCTATTCTTTTTGATGGCTCTTCTTTGGTTTTTCATGGCCATGACTAACACAGGGCAGCCACCCTTGCATGTGGATGTGAATTGTGCCACCAAGACGCAGGCTGTGAGCTGGGCATTAATTTCGGTCCATGTGGTGGGGGATAGCGGGATTGCCCATGTAGTAGTTAAATGTGCCCAATGCATCTGGCAGGGCCCAATGCAGGTGACTTGGCCCCCCCAGCACGAAAAGGCATCTGGCGCCAGAGTGGCTCAAGTTGGCGGAAAATTCCTCTCTGCACTGGTGCCGAAGCAAAGGCAGAGAGGAGAGCCCTGGTCAGTGCTGCCCACACCCCAAAATATTACACAGGTCAGTGTGCACCATTACCCAGCACCTTCATGTCCGGCGCACATCTTCGAGCATGCCCGATGCTCATCCGGCCCCAGTAATGTGTGGAATACTCATCCATCGCTCCTTTCCATACCAAAAAAAAGCCATAAAACACATAAAAATACTCCATATGACTACTTGTGAAGAACATGGTGAAGAATATCCTGATATAGGGACATATAAGTACATATAAAATACTATCATGAATAACTCCTTTTGTTCTACACGGAAGGAACGTCAAATGTGTTTTGAAAGACACAAGGATGAGTGAATGATTGTGAACTGTCCTTTTAACATGAAGTACTGTCCTTCTGATGGTACCAAAATGAGTTTTCATTGGATGTTGGACTGTGGTATATATAGGCCAGTAAGTGCTGAAGGCATATAGTCACCAAGCTCTTTGCTTTGCAGGCTTTCAGCTTTTGCTTTTTTCATCTTCCTTGCCTGTAGCTCTTCATCTGTCACACATCTGTTCGTTGTTTCTTTCACCCCATCGTCTTTCCATCTTTCTAGCTTTAATCTTGTCGCTCGTTTCATCCGGCCATCTTCTGTTGTTTTTTAACTTGCTGAGTTCTCTGGAGCTTTGATGCCATTGTGATCAACCGAAGACAGATCCTGTGGTCAGTTTCCACGCGAATCCAACCTTAAAGGCCTTCTTTCTGAATTTCGGGAAAAGCTCTGGAAGATTTTCAGTTACTCATACTGTAGTTGCTCAATCCACATGAACATCAGGAGCAGTCTAGTACCACGGGCTAAATTACATCCCATAGTTTTTTATTTACTTTATAGTCGGTAGACTCTGACACAGCCCATGCTATTCTTTTTGATGGCTCTTCTTTGGTTTTTCATGGCCATGACTAACACAGGGCAGCCACCCTTGCATGTGGATGTGAATTGTGCCACCAAGACGCAGGCTGTGAGCTGGGCATTAATTTCGGTCCATGTGGTGGGGGATAGCGGGATTGCCCATGTAGTAGTTAAATGTGCCCAATGCATCTGGCAGGGCCCAATGCAGGTGACTTGGCCCCCCCAGCACGAAAAGGCATCTGGCGCCAGAGTGGCTCAAGTTGGCGGAAAATTCCTCTCTGCACTGGTGCCGAAGCAAAGGCAGAGAGGAGAGCCCTGGTCAGTGCTGCCCACACCCCAAAATATTACACAGGTCAGTGTGCACCATTACCCAGCACCTTCATGTCCGGCGCACATCTTCGAGCATGCCCGATGCTCATCCGGCCCCAGTAATGTGTGGAATACTCATCCATGCCACAGCGCCATTTCACCTCCAGACCAGCAGGATTGAGAGTTGTTTGCAACCATTGACAAGAGGGTGGAAAAAGAACCTCATGTTAAGGACTGATATAAGTATGGCTGAATCACAGTTTGCATACTTGTATGCAAAGTCAAGTACGAAAAGTATGAAAAAATTTAGCCGTCGATTGTAGGCGGGTACAAAATTGTGACGAAAATTGCATCTTGATATTGCGTCAGGGAACCCTCGCTAACAAATCCACTTGCATTGCATTCATTGATCCATCCAATTAGATATAGTATGCCATTCGAGTATCTTTTGACATAAACATATATATATTTTTACGCGACAAACTATTACGGATAGTATGTCGAATTGGGATTCAGCTTATAAGAGACAAGTGATTCACTGGAATCTTTTGTTTTCCTTGAGCTTGTTCCACTGATTTGAACATGTCATGGTTGTCATTAATAGTCAAAGAACATAATCATGTTCCATGTTTAGCTGTATCCATTTGGTTTATCTATGGAGAATGGCCTAGTTTGGAAGAGCTTTGTTGTCATTTTGCGTTCCAGATCATTTGCCCATGACTGCTGCTATGGAAGCCAGTGAACTCATCAATCGTGGTGCATGACGCAATGGTTAGAGATGTCAGTGAGCTAGTGTACAAAAACCAACAAAAACTCCCAACTTAAAGCAAACATTCAATACGCAAGCTTTTCCGATATCACCTCTTTTCACAAAACCCACCAGCACCTCAAACATTGTGCCTTTAATCTATCAGTAACCATGTGTAGAGCGTCACTGTTTCCTGACAGATAAAAATGATGGATTTTCAGCTCAGTGCGAGCACAAGGAGGGCAGGTCCAGATCAGCGTAAATAGAGGAAGTATCCTCACCCAGCCAAGTAATGTCTCTCATAAATTTTCGAAATGCGTTTTTCATACAACAAGCTGGGTGTAAGTTATGAGCGGCTGTCTGTTTTAAAACCTCTCTCTGTCACCTCAGTTAATAAAATAAATTTAAAATGTATAAATGGTCTCAGCCTTGGAGAAGATTGGCCATTTAGAGTATGCTGAGGTGGAACTGTCTGTTCTGCTGGATGTTGATGTACAAGTAAGAATTTCCGATACACCAATATAAATTTCCAATAACCAATACTGTAGGTTTGCGGATAATGCCGTTTAAATTAATTACCATTCAAAAGTTTTTGATAGAAGTCTCTTATACTCATCGAGGCTAAATTTATTTGATCAAAAATACAGTAAAATCTGCAATACTGTAAAATATTATTGTAATGTAAAATTTATATTGTAAAATAATTAAAAATGATTTATTCTTACGATGGTAACATGAATTTCTAGCAGCCATTACTCCAGTCTTCAGATCCTTCAGTAATCATTCTAATATTCTGATTTAGTGATCAAGAATCATTTCTTATTAATATCAACATGAAAACATTTGTGTTGCTTAATATTTTTGTAAAACCTGTGGTATATATTTTTTCAGGATTCTTTGATGAATAGGTTGCATATAATTGGCAGATATGATGGCCAATTTCAAAACAGTTCTGTCCCTGTAAAAAAGATTTATAAACAATATTTAAAAAAATTGTAAATCATTTTAAAATATTTTTTTGTAGTGTGGTTAAAATCTGGAAACATTTACATAATTTTTTCCCTAAAAACTTATCCAATTCTCATATAATTTTTTCACATTCATATTTTTTTTAGTTCTTTTTATAATACATATATATATACATTTTATAATAATAAGTTTTTTCCCCAATATGTTTGTTTATTTTAACTTTCATTTTTATAAGTTTAAAATGAATCGAGTACTAGGTAACGTAAAGATTACATCACCTTTAAAATGAGTTATAGGGGCCCTGTTTTAGCGATCATTTCAGATGACAACATTTGGTATGGACTTCAGTCTTACATGTGGTCTCTTTACGGGCCTGTGCTCGGCTGTGTTGAGTAGATCTGGGCGTGTTGGATTGTAGCTGCAGGGAATCGTTGCAGTTTCACGGTGACTGGGTTGTCAGCGCTCTGTGATGCATGCTTGTGTACTCATCTCTGTGTAGATAACACCGTACCCATCTGTTTGATCTCCCAATCCAGACACACGCTATATTTAGAGCCTTGTCAGATGTGCTGTTTTAGAGAAATCAGTCTTTTCTAATCAGCCTCCAACCGAGGAGAGGCCTCATTAGCATCAGCTCGTTCTCTCTCTCTCATTCGCATGCTTTATCTCTACAAGAGCGCCTTTGCACTCTCTCGTTCTTTTCTTTTTCTGTCTCTCTTTATTCTCTCTCTCTCCCTAATTCTTTATTCCTTTCCCTATTTCTCTCTCTGTCTGTCATCTCTCTTTTCTCTTCTTCTTTTCATGTGTGGGAGGGCGCTTGTTGCTCCCCCAAGAGATCTCAGGCTTTGTGTGCGAGTGTAAGTGTCTGTTCACGTTACACTGTGTGTTTGGTGCTCAGAGGAAATGGCACATCTGTGTTTCAGGGCACACTCTTATGCACCTTTCCTACCCCTTTATTTAGACTATATGCAAATTCCTACGCTTTCATATGAATGTATGAAATGAAATGTTCAAAATTCGACCACTGACGTATGCTCTTTATAAATAATATAAATACATTCCTGGACATACTGCATTGTTCAAAACGGATTGGATCTTCTAGATAATGAAAATAACTTTTGATGAACAAAACAGATAATCAAAGATATTCCTTTAGATCAAAATTATAAGATCTTTTTTATGGGTTGTCTTTTTGTAGCAGTGCTAGCTACATAGCACAAAGCAAATAACTTTGTAGTAACTTGTGCCAATGTGTAGTAACTGGAATGTATACAAGGTTAGCAGGTTTGTCAGTTAGCAGTATGCTAAGCTAGCCAGCTAAATGACTACTCTATGCAAAGTTAGGAGCTTCAAATGAATTTTCTGGAAAGCCTCTAGTTGTAAAAACCACTAAGATTTAAATTCCAAAAAATAGGATAATCTTTGACAAGTGAGAATGTTGTTTTGTGTTTTTTATGTTTTATTTTGTGTTTCAAAATGACAGGTTTTTAAACTATGGTTACTTTTAAGCGTCGTGTTAGCTAATGCTTTTGTGTTGTTGTATTGTGTTATTTTAGCAAAATCGCCTGCCGAAATCTATTGCAGATATAGATATTCATACTATCACTTTACGCTGTTGAGGGAACACGCTGGAGGCACGAGTAAACGAGAACAGTCTTTAATCAAGGAAACACAGAGGATAATCCACAATAGGAGCTTGAGCCAACACATGTAGACAACAAGTAGGCCTGACAAACACAAACTGAACAGACTAGGATTTTTAAAAAGGGGATGATTGGGGAACATCTATGGAACATAATCAAACTAAACGAGAACGGAACATGACCAAATAAGGCAAAACAGGAGCTGAAACACATGACAAAACAAGTCCAATCCTGACATTTCGCCCCCTCCCAAAAGGTGCGTCCTCACACCGTAGGCAACAACAGAGGGAGGCATAGGTGGGAGCTAGGAAGGAGGCTCAGGGGGAGGACGGACACCCGGGAGGGGGCCGGCAGACAGAGACAAGGGAGGCAACGAAGGAGGGGCCCGGAGCAGGAGGAGCCAATCAGGACCCAGGCCACAGCCATGATGGCGACCCACGGTGGAGCCGACGGAGGGAAGAGCCATGGAGGAGGAATGGCCGCCGACTCCAGGGGGCCGACCAACGGCAGCGGAGCAGGTGGTGGAGGAGCCCGAGGCGGAGACGGAGAGCCAACGAGCCAGGGGGATGCTGAGGATCCGGGGGGCCAGGGCGGAGCCGAGGGCTCTGGCGACCGAGTCGGAGATCCGCAGTGGAGCCAGAGCGACTGAGGACCAAGGTGAAGCTGGTGGGAGGAAGGAGCCCAATGGAGCCGGTGGGATGGAGTGACGAGGTGCAGCCGGAGGAGTGGAGTCCTGAGGTGATTGGGGGTCGACACCCAACCAAGGCGGAGCCAGAGGGACGAGGAAGCCCGGTGGAGCTGGTGGATCGACGGGTGATGGTGAAGGCGAGGGAGCTAGGAGCCGAGGTGGAGCCGCTGGGTCTACGGGCCGAGGCGGAGTACAGGCCTCGGAGGCTGGAGACGGAGGTGACGGAGGTGAGCTCGCACCGTAATCATCTCTGAACTGGATTCGGGGACTGGAGTCCTCTCCTTTTCGATGTGGCACATTCACCGCACCATACTCAGCTCACCCTCAGCCGCAGTGCAGGGGGCGGAGCTCCTCTCCGCGCTCACACCGTCTGCGGCTTTCTCCCTCGTGGCTGGCATTGTCGCTGACTGGTGGAGCCGCTGGGTCTACGGGCCGAGGCGGAGTACGGGCCTCGGAGGCTGGAGACGGAGGTGACAGAGGTGAGCTCGCACCGTAATCATCTCTGAACTGGATTCGGGGACTGGAGTCCTCTCCTTTTCGATGTGGCACATTCACCGCGCCATACTCAGCTCACCCTCAGCCGCAGTGCAGGGGGCGGAGCTCCTCTCCGCGCTCACACCGTCTGCGGCTTTCTCCCTCGTGGCTGGCATTGTCGCTGACTCTCGCACCTGGTCTGATGGATTCAGCTCTATGTCCGGGGCGATCCTCTGCTCAGTCGCTCGGCTTTGCGCTGTCTCGCGGCGGGAATTGGCTGTCCGTCATCAGAGGGCTCGGGCTTTAGCTCTGCACAGCGGGGAGATGGTGGACTGGGCTCTGGGTCCGGAGTGGATCTGGCGAGATCATCCTCGGGAGTGACGGTGAGAGGTGATCCATTTCTCGCCAGAATCCACGCCACAAACATGGCGAAATCCTCTCGAGACACAGCTGGAATCAAATTAACACAATTAACACAAGGAGAAACTGGGTCACGGGGAGCCAAACACACACAGAGAGTCCAGAACCCTGACAGTGTCTGCGTAGGTATTGTTTTATGTAAGTTTTTAGTGCTAATGTTTTGGCTGTTAGCTGTAACGTGAGCTGGTTCATGGCTACATTCTTGCCAGAATCTACTCCACAAACGCAGCGAAATCCTCTTGAGGACCATCTTCAGACGACGGTGTAGGTGGTGGTGCTTGCTAGCAGCTGGAACAGTCTAGTATGGTCCTCGAGAGCTTTGTCCCCCTGCTCCAGCAGGAGGAGGAGGTATTTGGGGCGAAGAAGGGCATCCATCCAGGGAACACAACGCAAAAAAAAAGATACTAGGAAAAACGAGAAAACAAACGGAGGGGAAGACACGGAGGTAACTGTTTTTGGGTCAGGTCTTCCGTCACGTTACGCTGTTCAGTCTTTAATCAAGGAAGCACAGAGGATAATCCACAATAGGAGCTTGAGCCAACACACATAGACAACAAGTAGACCTGACAAACACAAACTGAACAGACTAGGACTTTTATACAGTGGATGATTGGGAACACAGGTGACATCAATGGAACATAATCAAACTAAACGAGGACAGCAACATGACCAAATAAGGCAAAACAGGAACTGAAACACATGACAAAACATGTCCAATCCTGACACATACAGTAGGCCTACATGCATATAACCACGGTTGCAGACTGTTACAATATGGAGGACAGCTTACTTATAGTGACCTATAGAAACAGCTGCTACTGAGGCAGAGCTGATTAGCGTGATATAATTCACTGATATAATGGCCCAATTCCCCAATTAGAGGAAAGAGAAAAAATGCTTCGAAAAAAAAAGAATCATTCTTGTTTTAAAGGATAGATTATAATAGTTTTAGAAAAAAAAGTATATTTTTGTTTCCACATTTTTAAGGAATAGGGATGTTATTTCACTCTTTAAGAGTGTCAGAATTTCACTGTTATGGGTGATATTTTTTTCTACAGATAATGGTGTATTGATTTGCTCCTGTGTAGTAACTTGAATGCAAGGTTAGCAGGCTTGTTAGTTAGCGGTATGCTAAGATACCTTACAAACATAGAACATGAAATAGCTTTTGATTGTATAATATATGTGATTAACGTTCTTCGTGATATTTTGTTAGTTAAGATAATGTATATCTTCACCTGCATCATCTCCTCCCTCACTTCTCTCGTTCTTACATTCCTCTTTAATGTTGTTTGGCTGCATGAGTGCATTTGCTTTCTCATATAGCTTTTGCTGGCCTCTGATTTAGGCACATGTCCCCTTTTTGACTTTTACACAGAAGTTAACTTGTTTACTTGTTTATTGTATTGATGATTGTGTTTATCAGACTTTTTTCCTGTCCTTTTTCTGTTTGTAGATGGAATGGGTCGAGTTCTGGCTCAGGACGTCTACGCCAAAGACAACCTGCCTCCTTTCCCTGCATCAGTTAAAGATGGCTACGCTGTTCGAGGTGAATACCCGTTACTGCAAAATTACTCAACCTGCATGGTCTCATTTACCACTTTTTTCCACCCAAATGAGGCAGTGTTCTTGCTGAAACCGTGCTCGGCCTGGAAATGTTGTTCTGCATTTAAGGGCAGAGAAATCACATAACTGATTATATAACAGTATATCCTGCCCATAAACATACATTTGCACAAACATTTAGAGAACATTTAACATCAAGTATAATTTAAGTATAATAATTGTATTCCTGTGATGGCAAAGCTGAATTTTCAGCAGCCATTACATTAGTCTTCAGTGTCACATGATCCTTCAGAAATAATTCTAATATGCTGATTTGCTGCTCAAGAAACATTTCTTATCATCAATGTTGAAAACAGTTTTGCTGCTTAATATTTTTACTAGTGCTGTCAAAAATCGCGATTAATCGTATCCAAAATAAAAACATTTGTTTACATAATATATGTGTGTACTGTGTATATTTATTATGTATTTATAAATACACACACATGCATGTATATATTTAAGAAAAAATTTACATTTATATATTAAATATATATTATATATAATATAATTTATATGAATATAAATATATACACGTAAATATATGTAAATATTTTCAAAATATATGATGTATATGTCTTTCTATTTACATAATAAATATTCACAGTACACACATATATATATATATTATGTAAATAAAAACTTTTATTTTGGATGCAATTAATCGCAATTAATCATTTGACAGCACTAATTTTTACACAAACCATGACATTTTTCCAGTATTCTTTGTATGTATAGAAAGAAAAGAACAGCATTTATTTGAAATAGTAGTTTGCGTTTGTAACATTGTAAATGTTTTACTGTCAATCTTAATCAATTTAATGCAACCTTTCTAAATAAAAGTAGTCATTAATTTTTATTTTTATTTTAAACAAAGAAATTATTATTTTTTTATTTAATACTTGTTTATTTTGAGCTACAACATACAGATACAACAACCTTATTTTTGACTATAACTATTATGATCACATTAATCAAAACTGTAAACCTTTTGAAAATGACTAAGTTTCTCTTTTTACTGTTTTTCAGCTGCTGATGGTCCTGGTGATCGCTTCATCATTGGAGAGTCTCAGGCTGGGGAGCAGGTGAGTTAAACGAACAAAAACTGGAACTAGTCTTCTTACACTGTTGAAAACCTGACGAACATAGTCTCTCTCCCTCACACATACACAGGAAATGCCTGCTTTTGCACTGGCACCTTGTGTCTGCAGGAAGCTTGTGTGCTCAGATGGCAAGAAAACTCAGACTTAGTGAGCGTGTTTAATGCGTGCATCACACACACACACACACACACACACACACACACAGAGAAAGAGGGGGAGATCCCCGTGGGCTGTGTGCAGCAAAGTGCAGGCCAGCACTTCAGTGCTCATGGCTGACATCCATACAGCGCTCTTGTCTGGAGAGTGTGTTTGCATTCGAGTCATGGGTCATTCTGTTGTTTTCTCAGCTAATGCCATATGACTCTGGTACGAATAATAATGTATGTATATGACATTTTGTAGGAAAAGTAACAGTTCAACCCAGTATCAGAAGGATGCAACATTAGTGTAGTTTTGCTTTCACACCACACATTTCTGATACAGTGGTTAAAGATCTTTTTCTCTCTGTAGCCCACTCTCACAGTTATGCCAGGCCAAGTGATGAGGGTGACGACAGGTGCTCCTATCCCATGTGGTGCAGACGCTGTAGTGCAAGTAGAAGACACAGAACTGCTACGAGAGTCTGAAGACGTAAGTGTATCATATTCTTAACTGCAAACTATTTAAAACAATTTTAATAAAAACAACAACAACAACAAAAAAACTCAGATTTCTAATAAATATATAGTTAAGTCATGAAACTCTAGATGGCGCATTCTGAAGGGGTGTCAACGTAACTGATGATATTCAAAGTTAAACGACTTGGCACAAGCTGATTGGTTCATGCTGCATATGCAGCCAATGAGCTTACTGCCTTGCATTTATGTGGCTGGCTAACATTCACTTGAGATTCCTGCAGCGCACTTTCAGAGTTCTCTGAAACCCTCCACCTTCCCCAGCTCCACCTGTATAGATCTGCTACGGGGTTATTTTATATGCTATTTGTGCAGCAGCAGTATGTCTTAAATACTCATGGCACCGTATCGCCATATGCATTGGCAGTAGCAAGTTCCTGTACTTGCTTGCAGCAGCAGCAATAATCTACAACTACCGCAATAACCAACAGCAGCAGCAGCGTAGCAGATCTGTTCCGCCAAGACCAAATACATTAACATTGTCATATCCATCACCATGCTAAAATGTTCAGAGAGTTGTCATGATTGAAATAACTTTAACTTGAAATCAACCACATCCCTAAAAGAACAAAGTATGTTTTATAAATAATTTCTACCTTTGAGGATGCTCCCAATTTTGTTTTGCTTTTAGCTAGCTTTCTGGGGACATTTTTCATGTATTTTGTCCCAAAAGTGAAACATGCATAGTTCAAAGTATAAGACAATTAAAAAGAAAAACAACCAAATATATTTAAAATTTGGAGAACAGCACAAGTATTTTATGAATGCATAATTACAATAAATTATACAGCAGTATTTTTTGCAATAGTATTTTTGTATCATCTTCATTTATAATGGAGGAAAACTAGAAACACACCACACAAACATACTTCTAAACAGTTTCTAGCAAATTCTCACATAAATGAAAGTCCAGTGTTGTTCATACATGTTGTTTGTACATGTCTCAATCTGGTGGGTTATGAATTACAGGGTACAGAGGAGTTGGAGGTGAGGATCCTGGTTCAGGCTCGTCCAGGACAGGATATCAGGTGAGTGGGACTGAAGTTTATTTCCACAAAAAATGCCAGAGACTTTGTTTAACTGACCAAATATTTCTTTTTTTATCATTACTGTTTTTTCATCTAAATATCCATTCATACAAGTCCAAGTATTCACATCCACATTTAAAGGAGAATTTTCTTTGAAAAGGATTTTATGGACGATTTTGAAAAAAGTATCTTATGCTTACCAGGACTGCTTTTTATCTTATCAAAAATACAATTTAGTGTTGTGAAAATTATTACAATTCAAAATAACTGTTTTCTATTTTAATATATTTTAAAATGAAATGTATTTCTGTGATGGTAATGCTAAATTTTCAGCAGCCATTACTTCAGTCTTCAGTGTCACACGATCCTTCAGAAATCATTCTAATATGCTGATTTAATGCTCAAGAAATATTTCTTATTATTATCAATTTTGAAAACAGTTGTGCTGCTTAATATTTTTCAGTGAATTTTAGTGTTTCGTACTGTCACTTGTATTCAATTCAATGTATCCTTGCTAAATAAATGCATTCTGTGTACAAAAGTGTATGTAGATGTATCATGTTTTGATACTTGTTGAAGTGAATAAGCATTATTCCACATTTCACCTTTTTCACGAGGAATCAATCAGTCTCTTTCAGTAATATAAAACTGGTATTGTTATACACAGGCCTATAGGACATGATATCAAGCGTGGAGAGTGTGTGCTGGCTAAGGCCACTCACATGGGTCCATCTGAGATCGGCCTCCTGGCCACTGTAGGAGTCACAGAGGTGGAGGTGCAGAAATTCCCAGTTGTAGCAGTCATGTCCACCGGCAATGAGGTAGGACTTGTTTGTGTCTCGCTTTGTTACTTTCTTTTGCCCATGGTAATTTAAAACATGTTTGACCGTGTTTATGTATGTTTATGTATGCAGTTGTTAAACCCTGAGGATGACCTTCACCCAGGCAAGATCAGGGACAGTAACCGATCCACACTGTTGGCCACCATTCAGGAACACGGCTATCCCACCATCAACCTCGGCATCGTCGGAGACAAGTCAGCATCCCTTCTTTACCACCCACACACACACACACACACACACACACACACAGAGTCAGCTCTGCACATGTCTAAATCTTTCCAACCTCAGCACTCCTCTGAAACTCCAGCTCTTACATTAGAATCGATACAAGATCATACAACGTCTCAGCAGAATTTACTGAAAGACAGCATTTCCTTGCAGAGCTCTGAAGTATTTTTCCACCTTTATTTGTATGTGCATACATATACTGTAGGGATGTATAGATGTATAATATTTATAAAAGCATGTATAAAACATGTATAAGAAGCAAATACAAGTAGGTTAATAATAATAAGTCAGTGACTGATAAGTAATTAAAAACAAAATAAATATGTATTGTTTCTTTTTCTGCATTCATATGAAGAAACTGTAAGGTTTTTCTTGAAGTCAGTAATGCTTTTTTGTGCTGTCCTCATTTTGTGGATATGAAATATTGAGTAAATAATTTAATACATTTAGTATAAATATAAAATATAACAATATATTGTGTATTTTGAAATTATTATTTATATGATTTAATAATAATATAATATCACGTTCAAAAGTTTAAGGTTTGTAAAAAAAAAAAAATGTTTTAAAACGATGTCTCTTGCGCTCACCAAAGCTGCTTTTATTTGATGAAAAATACAATAAAAACAGAAATATTGTGAAATATTATTGTAATTAAAAATAACCATTTTCTCTTTTAATATATTTTAAGATGTATTTATTCCTGTGATAGCAAAGCTGAATTTTCAGCAGGCATAACTTTAAAAGAACATAATTGATTTGAAATAGAAATCTTTTGTAAAAATGTAAAAGCCTTTACTTCTAATCAATTGAATGTGTCATTATTGAATAAAAATATTAAATTCAGGTTATAGCCTACATTACATTTGCACTAGTAATAGTATAAGCAAACATTTCACACTTTTTACTTCACCAATATGCGAGGAATGGATTTAACAAAGAAAAAAAATTGCATGTCATTTGGCATGATCATGATTTGTAACCCCCTGCAGCCCAGACGACCTGTTGAATGCCCTGAACGAGGGCATTAGTCGTGCTGATGTCATCATCACCTCCGGGGGCGTGTCCATGGGTGAGAAGGTCAGTTGATTGGAGTTGTCTGGAAGTGCTGTAGTCTAATGAAAGGTCACATGCTTGAAATGTCCAAGCTTCTCAATACAGGAATGTGGCCTCACAGATCAGTCTGCTTCATGTCAAGAAGAGGATTCCATTGGTTTACCCAGAGAGCACGAGATCTCAGAGCAAAACTCTTTTAAGAGCTTATGCCGCAGGTCACTGTATGTTTTACTGCCATCTAGTGTTTCTGCTTGTTTCTTGTCACAAAGCAGCATTTGTTAACCTGACCTTTTATTTTGGGTCTTTGCCCAGGCAGCAGTGCACTGACCGCCTCTTTCTCGTGATTTTCCGCCCTATTAATTAAAGCTCTTTAATTACCCTATGTTTCACTTCACCAGACGTGGATAGATGTTGTTGTCCTACATGAGAGGAGAAACGCAAACACTTACGTTAACGTTTGTGTATGTTTTTTTTTTTTTTTTTTTTTCAGGACTATCTGAAGCAAGTGCTGGATATAGACCTCCATGCCCAGATCCACTTCGGTCGAGTGTTTATGAAGCCGGGGTGAGTGAGAGAAGCAGTCTTAGTCATGCAGAGCCAGACTTGCATAAAGTCTGGATGGGGCAGCACTGGCGTAAGGGGAGGGGTTTGATTGTTGGATTGAGTATATCTTGTTTTCTTGTGAACAAACTGTTTTAAAATTCTTTCAAGGATTTAATGCCATGAGCTAAAAAATGTTGTCAACGCCAAAATATTGATAAGAAGTAGAGCCCGACCGGTATATCGTTTAGCTGATATTATCGGCTAATATGAGCCTGTCGCCGATATATCGGTATCGGCGAATATGCCACCGATATGAACTTTTTTTTACAGAACATATAATGCAGATAAAATGCTTGAAATGGTGTAATTATTTAGTTTGTCCAGCAGAGTGTGCTCCATTGTTTGCTACTGGCGACCTGGATGAAACGCTTTAAAGCTTATCTTATAAGTCTATAGAAAACCATTGAAACTTTGAACGGCCATATCTCCGTAAAGGCGTGGCGAATCCGCGAATTTGGGGGATCCCTTCAGCTCGAGGAACCCTCTCGAATGTGAATCGAGTGTACGTCTCGAGGCCCTCTTTCGAATGAAAAGTGTCGATAGCCCCCGGGGTTCGGGAGTTAAATTTGCGGTCCGGCGCAGACCGATCTAGCGATCCCGGGGGGCTACCGACGCGCGGAGGATGGCGTTCGAGAGGGCGGCGTTCGAGAGGGCTCCTCAAGCTGAAGGGATCCCCCGAATTTGGTGGAGATCCGCTGGCGCGTTCGCGAGACACCAGCCAACACTTTCACTTCAGTAAGGAGGTTTCTTGTTCAGGCAGCAGCATTCCAACGTTGGCTTGAATTGGATTAAAGTTGAATAAACTTCAACTTAACTGTTCAGTGCACTGATGTCAGACTCATTTTGGATAATAAAGTTTATTGTTAAATTGTTAAATGCCCTGCCTCTATCATTACATATCTTTGTCACGTCATTATAAGTGTTTGGTCACCACATTTGAGTGATCATTGCAAAAAATGTGTTTATGTATATATATTCTGTTTATGTACAGTGCTGTGAAAAGGTTTTTGCCCCCTTCCTGTTTTTTTTTTATTTTTTGCATATTTGTCACACTTAAAAGATTCAGATGTTATTAGATTTAGGGGGCAATTACTTTTTCCCGTAGGGCCAGGCAGGTTTGGACATTTTTTTTCCCTTAATAAAAGAAATCATCATTTAAAAATGTCATTTTGTATTTACTTGCATTATCTTTGTGTAATATTAAAATTAGTTTGATGATCTGAATCTTTTAAGTGTGACAAATATGCAAAAAATTTAAAAAAAACAGGAAGGGGGCAAAAACCTTTTCACAGCACTGTATATATTGTATTCTATACATAGTACCAGTCAAATGTTTGGATACACGAATGGGAAAATGTCCAAACTTTTGACTGGTACTGTACTATAATATACACAAACAATATCAGCCGATATATCGATATCGGCCTTTTTTTACTCCCTAATATCGGTATCGGTATCGGCCCCAAAAAACCCATATCGGTCGGGCTCTAAAAAGACCCAGTGCACCTTGACTCCTAAAATTTGCGAAGTACCACACCAATCATTTTTCTTTAGCTTTTGCCTTTTTTGTGTGCAATATGCATCAGATGGTTTGTGAACATAGGCATCTGATTCAACTAAGACAAAACAATGTTGGCCGAAAAAGAGCTAAATAATATTGTGTTTCAGTGCTAATTAAGTACTATTTATTTACTATTATAGTATTTATGAATATATTGTTTCCATTAATTTTAGTCATTTTGTTATGTGCTTTTTTCATTTAGCTTTATTTTTTATTTACGTTTTTTTTCAACATTTCATCTAATATTTATATTTTATTCCAGCTTTATTTCAATCAACAAATGATATTTTTAGTTAACAGTTACAGCACTGGTTTAAATTAGATACAGTGTTACATTAGTTGTAGCTTTTATTTTGACATGGGAACTCACTTAAAGAGTTATTTTGTATAATTTTGCCAGAAAAATCATGTTTTTTTCATATGTTAATGTAAAAAATCGTGTGTAATATAACTTGTGTTTGTTTGTTTGCTGTTTTTCATTGTATTTGTTATACTTGTATTTTTTTATTGTTTTTGCCATGTAGATGCTGACATGGCATTAAATAAAAATATACTACTACTACTTATTTCGACATGGCTCCCTGGAATTCCGTGTGTAATATAACTTGTGTTTGTTTGTTTGCTGTTTTTCATTGTATTTGTTATACTTGTATTTTTTTTATTGTTTTTGCCATGTAGATGCTGACATGGCATTAAATAAAAATATACTACTACTACTTATTTCGACATGGCTCCCTGGAATTCTTGATTCTGATTGGTCAGTTGTGGCATTGCTCTGTCTTTTTTGAATAATCACGGCTCATTTGGGTAATTCTGTATAAATGACCACTCATACAAGCAACCAATGACTTTATATATCTTGTAATACTCCTGCAACAATATTACAGTATTAAAACTGAAGTCCTCCAAGATCATTTTTACTACAATTGTTAATCGAGATCCAAGATGGTGGCAGTTATGTTTGCCGTGACACAATAGACATGAAAATGGTACCAGGTTGACTTACCCAGATGAGCGGTTCGATATAAAGCATTGCCCAGATGATTGGCAAAAATATTTGGAAACATCTGACTGCTTAATGCTGTGATTGACCAATCAGATTCAAGTATTCCAGAGAGCCTTGTAATAATTTGTGATAACTGTATACTGTATTTGCTGGTTAGGGCATCTGTTGAAAAATTATTTTGGTTGTTGCTGTGATGTAGAATATTGATGCTTTATTCTATTTCTATTTTAGTTTGCCTACTACGTTTGCCACCTTAGACACTGACGGTGCCAGAAAGCTGATCTTCGCCCTTCCAGGTACAATATGCTGTGTATTTGACATAGTAAGTGTGTATGTAAACAAATAGAGAAGTTTTGACAGGAAGAGTGTCTTGTTTAGAATTTACACAAATGAATTCACATACATACACAAACCCATGTGACTGAGTTTCCTCTTTCTCCTACGTACTTACTACTTACAGTACAACAACTTCTTTTATTCTAGCTATTTACATAAACTCACATATCTATATAGTACTATCTCCAAACTAAATGGTCCCTTCTCCATAAAATTGAATCAGCCCACGGTTGCCCACCTGTGTACCTTTCTGCAAACCTGCATCTCCCTTCTTGCCCACCGGTCTGATCAGCTTTCCCAAGCTTGCCCCCACCCGAGCCAGCTGTACTCCCACCTTGTGCCTTCAGAAACCAGGTGGTCGAGGCAGTGGTGACAGTGGCGATTTCTATATTCCCCTTCAAAGGTAATTTCACCTACAGAGACACAGGGGCGACTCTTCTGGAGACTGTGCCCCTGAGTGACAGCGAGGCCAGCAGACTGCCTGTGCCTCCTCCCCCACGAGGAAGTAGGTGCTATTAATTCAGGAAGTAAGCCCTGTCTTCAGCCCGAGCTCAGAAAACGGAAATGGACTTGAAATTTTGACACCACACCCTAATAAACTGGTTTTTCGATAATCATGTAACACGAAATCTCTTTTTAGTGCACTTGGGCTCATTTGGGACCAGTATGTTATAATTATTACAGACATTACAAGCTAAAAATCTGAAAAGGCCTTGTCTAATCTACAGTAACAACCACAATGAAATGAAACATAGGAATAATATTTTTGTTCTGATTTTCCAATGTGACGCTTTCTGTTCTGTTTTCTGAGAGAAGCCTTGTGTTTTTGCTTTTTTGCGCTCCTTGTAGCTATTAGTTCTGTTGCAACCTGCCGAAGCCCTTCCGTTTTGTGTACCGTGATGTGGCTTAGTGTCTTGAAACTGCTATTTGTCTGATGTAGTGCTGTCCTCCTTTTGCTTTCAATGCCCTTCTTCCCTTCCTGTTGATGTGGTGGGGGGCACATCTGCATTTGATACACTCTTCTTTCTTAGCTGGTTTCAGTAGTTGGTTCACATTTGCCTTATCAGAGAGTATTGGGTTGTTTTCACCACACTTTATTTGATTGGTCTGGTACGAACCAGAGTTCAATTCCATCCCTAGTATTATTGGGCTTCGAAATGTACATGGACACAAATGTACATTTGCATAATCGGTGTGAGTGCAACTTACACACCAACCAGAAAAACTGAACTCTGATGTCAAAAAGATTCCTTAAAGGGGCAGTTGACCCAGAAATGAAAATTTTGTCACTATTTAATCACCCTTGTGTTGCTACAAACCTTGTGTGACTTACCTTTTTCCATAGAACACAAAAGAAGAAGCTGAGCAAAATGTTAAAGCTGCTATTTTTTTATGTAATGATAATAAGGTATACGGAAAGAAAGAAATTAGTAGCTTAATTCATCACATTACATTGATCAAAAGTGGCCATAAAGACATTTATAATGTTGCAAGAGATTTCCATTTCAAATAAATGTTGCTTTTGAACTTTCTATTCATCAAAGAATCCTTAAATGTATCACGGTTTCCACAAAAAGTATTATGCAGAACTAATTTCAACATAAGAATAATAAGAAAATAAATGATAATAAGAAATGTTACTTGAATGTTACAAATCAGCATATTAGAATGATTTCTGAAGGATCATGTAAAACTGAAAACTGTTATTTTAAATTGAAATAATTATTCACACTATTACTGTTTTGATCAAATAAATGCAGCTTTAGTGAGCTTAAAAAAACATTTGCAGCGACTAAGCTTTTGAACAGTAGTGTACAAGAATGAGGTTTGAGATCTGTGGAAGATTTTCAGCAAGTAATAGTTAAAACTGCTGTCAGTTGCTTGATTTCAGGCAAATTATGTGGTGCTTTTATGGCGTTTTGTTGTTCTTGTAGCTGGATAGCCACTGATCACTGTGTACATGAATTGTATATAAAAGAGCAGCATAAACATTCTGCTAAATGTTTCCTTTTGTGTTCTCTAAAACACAAGATCGGACAATTTTGGAACAACATGAGGGTGAACAAATTACAGAATTCACATTTGGAAGTGAACTGTTGCTTTAAAGACATCAGGAAACAAACTGAATTCCTATCTACTACAGATGATCCACAGTTCAGAGAGTTTCTGCCCCAGACCTCCACCCCGACCCTAAACCGTAAGCCATAGTCTTCACCTCAACACTCGTCTCTTCTTTCTGTCTCAGGTAACCCAGTGTCAGCTGTTGTAACCTGTAACCTCTTTGTTATCCCTGCATTAAGAAAGATGCAGGGGATCCTGGACCCACGGCCCACCATCATCAAAGCCAGGGTGAGTATGGCCAATAACGCTCATGTTCTTGCAGTGGTGGATTGAAAGCATTTTTACTTCAAATGAATTTTTCAAGTATGTTTTTTTTTTTTTCAGTATTTTATTGTGGAAACAATTCCAAAACATTACATTTCATTAAAAAAGCGTATCATTCCTTGTTAATTTGAACTGAAGAAATCATCACCTGCTCTGAGATGTGACGGTGATATCCGATTTGTGAACAAGCTGATTCTTTTCAATGAACCAGTTGAATCGGATCGCATATTGCAATTCATTCACAAATTGGACTGATCTGATAGCAGCTGTTCTCGAGTCAACAACTCACTGATTCAAGGATCCAGTCAGAGTGAGTCTTCATGTCTAACTTAAAATGAGCCAAGAACCAGAAGATCCTTTGAACCTGAGTGTGTGCGCAGCTGACAGCTTGAAAAGGAAGCTACTAATACCAAATTTTAGGATTGATTATTGTAAAAAAAAATAATAATAATAATATTTGATAAAATCATATTTTGGTCATGACCTTCAGTTGTTTGTGAACTAAATCTGCTATGTTATACATATTATATATATATATGCAATGCTTGCATTTGAATATGTCATGTTTCACCATCTGAACCATGTAGGTTTTAGGTAGAAACTAAACGTGATATTGAAATACCATAAAATAAAGCCCATGCATCTTCCCCGCTGCCGTAGCAGTTTCAAATGATATAAAACTAGTATGTTTGCATAGCATTCTTCTCAAAATAACACATTTTGCCCTGTTATGTCTGTTTTTATATTGTATGTTTATACTATTTGTCAACACACATTTTTTTAAACACTGTTGTTGCATTTTATTTTCACTTGTTTGCCCATTTGAATTCGGTATCCTAAATTGATGTATTGATATATTTAATGTTTGATGCTGTGACAAGTTTTGTAAATGAAATGTAAAGAACTTTTTCCTACTTACGAATCAATAGTCTGCAATACATCATATAGAGTGGAGTATATCAAATTGCAAAATAAACATTTATCAATCAGTACTTTTTTAAATACTTAAGTGCATTAAAAAACTAATACTTTTGCACTTTGACGTAAGTAAAATTGAAAAGGAATATACTTTTACTGGAGTAATGTATTATTATGGTATCTGTACTTTTACTCCAGTACTTGAGTTGTGTACTTCATCCACCACTGCTTTCTTGTGACTTACATTGGGTTTCTGCTGCGATGTCATCCATATGTGTCCTTTTCTTGGCAGCTGTCCTGTGATGTAAAGTTGGATCCACGTCCAGAATATCATCGCTGTATACTGACATGGCACCACCAGGAACCACTTCCCTGGGCACAGAGCACAGGTATACATAATTAGTTATGTATAAAGGAAGCTACTAATACCAAATTTTAGGATTGATTATTGTAAAAAAAATAATAATAATAATAATATTTGATAAAATCATATTTTGGTCATGACCTTCAGTTGTTTGTGAACTAAATCTGCTGTGAGCTGTTTAAGCGCACATATATAATATGTTATACATATTATATATATACAGTGGGTACGGAAAGTATTCAGACCCCCTTAAATTTTTCACTCTTTGTTATATTGCAGCCATTTGCTAAAATCATTTAAGTTAATTTTTT